CATAAAGAGACGGAAGTGCCAGATTGGAAAGAATTGTGTCACCTTACTGGGCCATAGAGTGGGATAAGGTTAACTGTAGACACTAGCTAAGAAAACACGGCAAAAACAAGGCATACCAATTTTTACCTCAAAGCGCACTCTCAGAGAGTTCCTGGGCCTTTTCTTGGTACGACAGCAAAAGCATCAAGGAATAAAACAATTTGGCCCCCCCATAGTATAAGTTGTTGTAAAAGGAAAAAATTTCACTTAGACAACAGAAGCTCAACGAGACTTTGATCGCATTCTACAGGTAACGGTAAGGCTGGGGCTGACCCTGAAATTGCCGGTTGTTGGAGATATGCTTACGGTGGCCACGGATACCAGGGGTCGGAGTCGTTGCGTTTTGAAACAAAGCCATGGAACCATTGAGTTCGCTAGCATAATTTTGTCACCAACCGAACACAAATGCTCAACGATGGGGAAGGAATGTCTCTTAATCGTCCAGACGTTGGCAGCCATATCAGTCAGGTCAACATGTTCACGTCAAATTGAATCACAAGCCTTTGCAACGGATTAATTCTGCCAAATGAACCAGGGAAAAACCAGCGCGATGCGCTTTGAGTCTACAAGAATACGATTGCACCGTGAAGTACATGCCGATAAAGGAGAAGCAAACTGCGGATTTCCGTCTCGCTTGATGTACGACGAGGACCTGCCGAGTGTGGATTGCGGTAGTAATGCTTTAATGTTGGAGCAGGATCCGGGACAGTTGCTAGCCGAACAATGTAGTGACCAAGTTTTCCACTAAGTGATCACCGTACAAAGAACCGGTCAACCAATCCTAAACAAAGCCAACTGGAGCATCTTGGGCCATTTGCGAGAAATCTTGAAGCGCTACGAATACTTGAAGCTATGATCCTGATGTGGATAACCAGAGGGAGCAACACTTTGGTGTCGACTATTTCAACGAAACTAGCGAGGAGGCTGGTGCTTGCTTGGCACCTGCGTTTGTGAAAGCAACGTCAGATTTTGAAAGCTGAATGTAGTGGAGCACGACGACCAATGATGTCGATTCCAGGTATCGAGATTCGGTGAACTTCGGCACAATAGCGGAGTTGTTTTCCCACCTCTAGTAGATGTGTATAATGATAATGAATGATTCGGTGAACTGTGGTCGATCGACATGATTTGACCGTTTGCTTTGACCTGGCTTGAAAATCATTACATCTTATGGCTGACGGAGCACTTCACGCGCTGGATTGAAGCAACGGCAATCCCGGATCTACGGGCTACCACAATCGATAGCGCATCACGGAATCCCAAGGGTTCTATTAACAGACCAGGGTCCGTGCTTTGAGAGTGAGGAATTCCGGAGCTGCTTGGGAATATTTGGTATCAAATAGGTATGGACAACCTCATACCATTCGAAGTTCAATGGCTTGAATCGGCGTAACAAAGAGTGGCTAGCTGCAAAGAGTGGAGATTACGAGGAAGCTTCTTCATTGCTACCTTTAATCTATCGCGCATCAAAACAGACCTCCCTAAAGCAATCCCTAATCCAATAGATGTGGGGTCAAGCACCTTGTCTACCTGTGTATCTAGTGTTTGGAATGTGGTCAAACTACCTAGTATCTCCCAAAGAAGAGCAGCTAACCATTGGCTGAAAACCACTCAGGAGCAGCGGATGATGGAGTTCCGGATCAACAATGGTGGGATGAATGTTGCTTTTCCGATCAGTTCCCATGTGAAACGCAGGGACCATCGATGCACTCTCACTTTTGATCAAGGGTAGAGAAAACTTCAAGCGTAGTAGAAGCGACCGTACAAGGTGGTCAACCAGCGAGCCAGTGCATGCAGTCGCTCAGCAAGGAGATTCATGGCGAGCGCATGCCAGTGAGTTGAGGAAGTTGCAAGAATTGGAGGAGGAAAATCTTTTTCGAATTGAACATCTCCCATTAAAAGCAGCTAGGCCGAGTGAGCTGGAGAGGGAGGAGTGTGATTGATAAAGGAAGACGCCATTGCGTCCATTGTCAGTAGAATGGAAAGGTCAGGATGCGAAACGGTAACCTGCCAACAGCAGGCCGTAATGAATCTCTAAAGATGAGGAACACATTAGAAGCGAAGTTATAAGCGCAATGAATGGACGCACAAGCAACGCACACCACACAATCCCTAGGCATAAAAGGAAAAGCCCACCATGAAGCCTCTATCAAGGATGGCGAAAATGAGTGGATGTCTCGATTGTCGGAACAGATGCACCTAGTGTTAGCTATGCTGGGGCAATAAATACTTTTCTAACATCTCGGGTACTTACAAGCAGTAAATTACATGTGTGGACGCGCTCGGTTATTATCCGGTAGATAAGAATGAGATCTTGACCAACTCGTCGGTATTCTGAGGAGAACACACAAAGTAAACAATGGCGCAGTTCGTAAAAGACTAAAGGTTTCACTCTCGGCCTTGGTGACGCTTATTTTGGCTTGCTCCAAGTAGACGAGTTAATCAGACTTATCTCAAAGGTGCCGGGAGCTATCCTCCAAAGCCCTAAGTTCAAGTTCGCCATATTTGCTGCTTTCGATCATTGGAGCCTGATGACACCTAAGTCGCGTTCACTAGTCACTTACTGCAGGACGTGTTGCCCCAAAATTGTGTTCTGAAGCGGCTGCAAACCGTCAGCAGGTGGCACTTTGCGGGATTCAGTGGGAGCTGGTTCGTTTCTGCCCATTCGTTAATCCAAACCAGATCATCTTGAAGATAAACAAGTTCGGATGCTTAGCGAAATGCTCTCCGTATTTCAGCATTGTCAGCGAATATATGCATCGAGGATGGAATGTTTGCTGGAGGGACACTGATGTAGACTAAAAACAGTAGCATGCGGAGGACGGATGTTTGCGGTGCACTACTGCTTGTCACAGGGGTTCGGCTACACTTAGTGAAAGCGACAAATGACTTGGAATTTTGGTTAAGGCCTTTCCACCAAAATCAACGGAAAATGCTGGAGCTAATATATGGTACTTTTGACAATCATTTTACAAACAACCAATATACGGTATACAATGCCTCCAGTACAGACAAAGACAACGCTCAAATAGCCAACAAGTTTGGTTTAAAAACACCCATGTGTATCAACTCGTCTCAATTCATTCCGGCTTAAAAACGGGCTTACGGGACCAATCAGAAAGGGAAGGCTAGCATCCATGGGTGTGAGTATCCGGACATTATTCACAATGATGTCATTGTTCACCAATTCTATACCAGGGGGAACAAACACTATGCCTAGCAGACCAAATGGTTTCAATGTGTTATCTTCATTCACAAAAACATTGCACTATTTTCACGTCATATGCGGTGGACAGTGATGAACACTAATAGCACAAATGGTGTTATTATGTGGAAAGTTATTGGTTTTTCCGTAGTAAGAAAGCTGATCAAACCTGATTGAATGTAGGGCATCTACCTTCTTAAATTTCAAAACAAACATAATTAATCCAATGTCGGTAACCTAATGTGCAATGAGCCAGAGAATCTAAGGTATAAAGACAAGGAAAACTTGAGTAAATGGCAGAGGGAATCACGACAAGGGGATCATTGAACGATTTGAAGGCATCACAAGATAGAGCCATCAGGATTATTCTGCACTTACCTTGATTGCTCTGTCGTGTAGAAAGTATTCCAACTAGGTGAACAATTAACCATTGCTACCGTAGGCACCAAGCTTTTGGAGGAGAACGAAGTGATTGAACGTGTAGAATGCGTTAGAAACATCTAAGTAAATCACAACAAGAGACTTCTTCATCAGCCGACCTGGTCCATGAGTTCCGGATAAGCAGCAAATTGGTGCGGTAAGATCGTTTGCGTCTGAAACCGTATTAGGCAATAGGAATTATTGGTAGACTTGCAAACTATCGCGTCAGTTCATCCGCGATTACCGATTCGATCATTTTTTAAAAACTAGGTAGGAGAGTAATAGGTCGGTAATTAGCAGGATCATATGGCTTACCTCCTTCGTATATCGGAGTGATAATTGCGTTTCTCCACTCAGATGGGAGTGTGTGAAAGGCATGAAAACCTTTGAAAAAGAATGCATAGGGTACTACTATAGTGGGAGCAAGGATGTTAAGTAATTTGCAGATCTTATCCAGAAGCACTCCATTCCCGGAAAGTCTGTCATTTACATGCAAAAGCTGCTGGGGTAAACCTGACGATAGGAATGACAACATTTGTTGTAGTTGATAGGGCGAAGTTTCCGTGAAACTTATAGCCATAGAGACAAAATGTAGGAGTAGGGTGTCTGCGGCATTTACACCAGTAGTTTTTAGGCCACTGGCTTTCTTGGGGGGCGGTATTCCGAACTAAACCTTTCTTTTGCCGCATATATATGTATGCTTAGTAATTTGGAGTTACTCGTACACGTTAGTAACATGGTCTGACCCTTTTACTTATCGACTCTGATGAACGACGTGTAGTAGTTTCTGCTTATTTTGTAATTCTGCCGTGTGGTATCATCTGGGCGAATGTTTTCTCCTGATATCGTCTCTTCAAATGATCCATATCCTTGTTCTACTACAGATCCAAATATTGGTCCAGCGCGTTGCTCGTAATGCTACAAGATTTGATGCCGATTGTGTAACGCAGTTAATTTTATCTTGCAATTCATTCCACGCATGGTTCGCTAAACTGTGCATCTGTAGTTTCCAGTCAACGGTTATCGCTACGTTGCGAAGCTTAAAAAATGCTAGGACTAATTTTTCCTTATGGCCCAGTGGAGGGTTAAATGCTACTGACTCAACTATCAACTGTTCATCCATTAGTTAGGATAAAGTTCAGGATTGCTGATTTGTTTGAACCGCAGTGTCTGGTCGGTCGATACACATGGTTGTACAAATCTGTCATTTCCAAGATTTCAAGGGGTTTAGATTTAAATGAAGACCTATTGGAGGACATTGATGCAATGGAAGCTCCACTGAAGTCACCCATTAAAAGACAAGGAGAGCACTTTTGTGAAACAGCATAGCAGAGAGCGTTTAACAGAATATTATCGCTGTCTGATGACAAGTTCGTTGGTCTATAGATAAATGCAAAGAGGCCATCATCGCCCGGCTTCCTCTGTGACCCAACATCCTGATATGCTATGTGCGATCAACACAATAAAGCGTCGGGAATGATAAGTGAATGTTTAGTAAGGATGTCACATTTCAGGTAATCTCGATAGTAAATGGCAACACCGACACTGCGGTATAAGAGAGCAGTTTGAATGACTGAGGTTTCACTGTGTTCAATCTTCGGATTAAGTATGTCAGATGAAAGCCCAGGTTGTTGATACATGTCGATGAGGCAGTTCCGGGAGATTACATTGCAACCCATGAGTGTTGGTTTAGCAACCTTGTATATTTTGACGTATTAGGAATTCGGTTCACTGTGAGTGACTGGCACAAATAGTGCCATTTCGTTGGAGCTCTTGAAACGTGTGTTTGGACGGTTGAATAATAAGAGATAAACACTTCCGAGACAGGCATATTTTTTATCTGGGGTCTGTATTAATTGAAGGAATGATCTTAACTGTACTTCTGGTGGCCCGAGTTGTCTGTTGTCATGCCACGCATGAATCGCCTCTGATACCATTTTGGGAGCAGCCAAAGTAACTTTCCAAGTTTTCGGCTCTCTGCCTTTGTAGCATGTGGAGGTAACTGATACAGACGTTGAGCGTGTCAAGGCCATGTTACACTACCTAGCCTGTAGAGCTGCATTGTGCACCTAGTGCGTAAGCGTCTATCTCACGACTAACCAGCGATGCTTATTGATTGGTTCAAAAGCGAGTGCTTAGCTAAAACATGTGAACCGCGTAAAACTAAACAGTTGCTCTGTACCCAGTGTGGACTGCCGATGTATTATTGCCATTGCTTCTACTAAACTTCCATTTGCAATACTGTTGTTCTGCTTTCGGTTGAGTGTAACAATTTGGCGACTGAGGTTATTCTGATTGCTTTAGCAAATTCAATAACTGCACACCAACCCTTCTGGAATTCTTCTACTGAAAGGCCTATTGCGTAACAACGGTTGCAGTGAAAATCTACATTTGCTAACTACGTTGATTTGCTTTTACGCCTTGGCGGAAATTGCACGTTGATGCTGCAGCGAAAATTAAATTATTATGTCACCATCTCGGCATCGAGGGCCAGCGACATTTCGACAGTTTTCAAATACAAACGAAGCGAGACCTAAAAACTGTTCTATTCCCTGGACCGAATATGGGGGGAAAAGCCCCATGTGTTTACTGCTCGGTATAAATTCAGCACCATGCGACAACAACCAAATGAGAGTGTGAGTTTATCTCTCGTCTCCTTACTGCTCTCCCTGACTGCGCCTATGATCAGATGCTTCCAGTCCAGTGCGAAGAAGCGATGCTGTTACAGGCATTAATCGTGGGTGTTTTGGATCCGAAGGCAAGAGAACGTCTGCTCTCCGAAGATGAAACGCTACTGACGTGGGAGAAAGCGTGTGATATAATCCACATTTCCCTTTTCAAATCAATCCATCTCACGTGACGTAAACAAGGTCTACTAGACTAACCGTGGACATACCTTACCACGCCCCGTACAGCGCAAGGAATTCCACTGTTACCGTTGCGGGGAGAATCACTTGTCCCCGACTGGCTGTCCGCACATTCATACATTATGCAACTTTTGTGGAAAAATTGGTCATATTCAGAAAGTGTGTCTTTCCAAGCGGAAATCACTCGTCCAGAAACAATCTAAGGCTACAACCTGGATTACGGATGAATTGCACCAAAATTGGATTACCACCTCAACCTTTTTAATCGCACCATTACATCAGAAAAACCGTTTGTCGCATCCATCCAAGTAAACGAACAACCGGTAGAGTTTGAAATTGATACCGGTTCCGCAGACACTTTGATCCGACCAGACGCCTTATCCCAACTTCCGAAGCTGTGTCCACCGAACAAACAGTTGCGATCTTACACGGAACAAATGGTGAATGTGCTTGGTACCTTCAACGCACGCATTTCTTACCGTAATTCGACGAGTCATATGTGTGTGTACGTTTCTGGAGCACCGGGTTGGAACATCCTGGGCCGCGATGGAATTAAGTGCCTCCTTGGCATAATGCCAAACGTCAACCTGGTGAAAGACAATCCGCAGTTATCCGAGATTTTGCAGAAGCATACAGTCTTATTTGATCAGTCGAGATCAGGACTTTTAAAGAATTGCAGTGCACATCTGGTATTGAAACCACAGACAAAACCGCGGTTCTGGAAAGCTCGCACTGTTCCCTATGCCCTCCGTGATAAAATCGAAGTGAACTGCTCCGACTCCAGTTGGAAGGTACCGTTGAACCCGTCCGGTATTCAGACTGGACAGCCCCCATTGTGCCAGTATTAAAGAGCGATGGCACAATAAGAATCTGTGGGGATTACAAATTTACAATAAACCAAGCGTTAGAATTAGATCGATATCCGCTACCAAAGATTGAAGACATTTACGCTTCCCTTTCCTGTGGTGATCTATTTACAAAAATAGATCTGAGTCATTCCTACCAACAACTTGAACTCGATGAGGAAGCACGCACGTACACCACCATAAGTACTCAGCTCGGATTATTCCGCTAAATAAGCATGCCTTTTGGAATAAGCTCGGCTCCATCTATTTTCCAACGTTTTATTTACTCACTCGTGAAATATATACCAAACACATGTGCGTACTTAGATGACATTTTAATTACTGGACGAACAACCGCCGAACACTTACATACATTGGACGTCGTCCTGAAGCGATTATCGGATACCGGGTGGGTACTAAAAAGAGAAAAGTGTGAGTTCCTTGTTCCGAGTGTACAGTATCTTGGCTATCGGTTGTCACGTGAAGGATTGTGCCCACTGGAAGAAAAGACAAAGGCGCTACTTAAGGCGCCAACACCCTAAAATGGTCATGAATTGCGGTAGTTCCTCGGTGTTGTCACACAGTTTTCCAGGTGTATACCATTGGCAACAACTCAGCTGTATCAGCTTCACCAGTTGCTACGTAAAAACCAAAGCTGGAACCAGAACAATGCTCATGAAAATGCATTCAAAGCGGTCAAGAAGCTCTTAGCATCTACAAATGTTCTTGTGCATTATGATCCGCAGAAGCCTGTTGTTCTTTCTTGTGATGCCTCAACTTACGGTCTCGGAGCGTTTTTAATGCACAAATTACCGAAGGGCTCTCAACGTCCCATTGCTTATGCTACAAAAACTCTGACACCAACAGAACGGAACTACTCTCACCTTGATCGAGAGGCAGCCGCTGTCATCTTTGGCACCACTCGATTTCACCAATATTTACTCGGGCGACCTTTCGTGATCCATACGGATCATAAACCTCTAGTTTTCCTCCTTGGCCACGAGAAAGGTATTCAACAAATGGCTTCACCTAGAATGTAACGTTGGTCGCTTATTCTTTCTGTGCATACATAAGAAATTCAGTACGTTCCAGGCAAACAGAATACCACCGCTGATGTTTTTAGCTCGTTTCCCTTACCAGAGACACCATCGAAAGAATTTATCCCACAAGAGCTCGTAAACCTGGTCCAGTATTTTAATGATTTCCCAGTCACATGTACAGACATACGTCCGGAAACTGACAGACTCTGTTCTATCGTTGGTCAAACGCTATGTCCAAGTTGGGTGGCCGGACAACACCCCAAAGAACTCATGCCCTTCCATAACAGGATGTCTGAACTCAGCTTCCAGAATGGATGCTTACTGTGGGGCACACGAGTTATTGTCCCCAAGAAAGTTCGGTCACGTATCCTTGACGTACTACATGATGCGCATGCAAGTGTCGCAAAAACGAAGTCGTTAGCTCGATTTTATGTGTGGTCGCCTGAATTAGACCGTGATATTGTGGCGAAGGTTGGAAGTTGCAGACCTTGCCAAGAGACCCGAAACGCCGCTCCTCATGTGCCAATGCAGTCTTGGAAGTAGCCAGAAATACCTTGGAAACGAGTCCACGTAGACTATTTCGGTCCCTACGAAGGTCGGATGATTTTGCTAATCATCGATGCCCATTCTAACTGGATTGATGCCCATATTCTTGTTTCAGCAAATTCAGCTGGTACCATAGAGAAACTACGCACAACGTCCGCAACATTTGGGTTTCCCGAGACATTAGTATCTGACAATGGACCAGCTTTCGCCAGTGTTGAGTTTTCTACCTTCCTCAACTCGAACGGCATTAAACACAACAATTGCATCCTATCCTCCTTCTTCTAATGGGTTGGCGGAGAGAGCCGTACAAACAGTGAAGAAGCTGCTAATAAAACAAACAAATGCTCCGCTACGTCTGCGTTTGGATCGTTCCTTGTTCGCATATCGAAACATGCCAACAGAGACCACAGACAGAAGCACCGCAGAGTTAATGTTTGGTTGTCGACTGCGTACACGATTGGATTATTGCATGGATCTGTTGAGCCACAAGTTTCGGAAAAACTACAACGAGTGAAAGAGCGTTTTGATACTTGTAGCAGAGACAAGTATGTGACCGATTCAAATCCCATCTACATCCGCTTACCTACAGGCTTGGGGTGGGAGCCAGCCGTCGTTAAAACAACTAACGGACAGATAATAGAAGCAGAGACTGAGGATGGCAGGATCGTACGACGCCATTTAGATCATGTGCGACCGAGATTGTCCAACACAGAGACAGTTGCCGAGACAGAGCAGCCAGCTGAAGCTTCGAACGACATGTACATGCGTGACGCCGAACCGGTAGCTGAGTCACAATTGCGGCGGTCTGCGTGCCGACGCCGACAGGTCGATCGTTTCCAAGCTGGATAGCTCCAACTAAAAGGGGGAAAGTGATACAGACGTTGAGCGTGTCAAGGCCATGCTACACTACCTAGCCTGTAGAGCTGCATTGTGCACCTAGTGCGTAAGCGTCTATCTCACAACTAACCAGCGATGCTTATTGATTGGTTCAAAAGCGAGTGCTTAGCTAAAACATGTGAACCGCGTAAAACTAAACAGTTGCTCTGTACCCAGTGTGGACTGCCGATGTATTATTGCCATTGCTTCTACTAAACTTCCATTTGCAATACTGTTGTTCTGCTTTCGGTTGAGTGTAACAGTAAGCCGACGGCTAACGTCAAAAGCCACGGCTCTGTGATGTACTTTGCTTCTTTGATGCCATGCTTTTTCCTTTCACCTTTGTTGTCGTGCTTCAATTCTGGCACATATGAACAAGTATTATTTTCTTCGCCCTACTTGGATGTGACCTAACAGGGTTTGATTTCCGCTTCGCTCTTTCTCCCCATGGCCTGTCAAGAAAATGAATTTCATGGAAGGCGAGTAAGACTGGTTGGGAGAAGTTTCAATCCGAGCGCACAAGTTATGTCAACCCAAGGATTTTGCTCCCCGGCTTGTCTTCATATAAGCGATTCACGAGTGGATTCTAGAACCTTTGAACATATCCCTGTCACCGCCTTTTGGTTGCGCAGTGCACGAGGATTTGTCGTATAATAGTGATTCTCTTGTCTCTTATAGAAGACGGGCCAAGACTGCAGCAAGAATGTTTATGTGCAACGCCGTTATTTGCACTATCCTTAGGAGTCAAGTGTCGTTGTCAGCTACCTTAGGGAAGTGATCGCACAAGTTGTACATGGCTCTGCAAGCCTTCCAGCGTTTCGTGAGATTTGGGGACCTTTTGTCATTGCTGTTTTTAACACATATTTTCCGTTTTTCTCTGCATTGCGTAGCATTTTGCTAGAGTTTAGG